ACAAACTAGAAAAATGGAACTCAGCAGGTATAATTCTCCTGGAATTTAATGCTCTAGAAACGTTGAGTTATCGTGCATCTTTGCGTTTCCCGTATGGACTCATGGTTTTGAAGCTGCGCAATTGTGTGCTGTAAAAAGTATTCATTTGCATAACTTCAAATCTCGCATAAATAGCAAAAAAATGCAAAAACCGCACGCCACTCTTCTAGTTTTGTCTGAGGCTTCTTGAGATTCACTGAAGTTTCAGAGAATTTGTAGCAGTATCTAAGTTACTGAGTGCTTTTCGTGGCTGCTTATTGTGGTTTTCCAGCTCTGTAATTGGCTTCGTTTCCTCTTTTTTTGATTGATTCTACATTTTTTGATGTTAGATTGCTGGCGAATCTAGCATTCGTTTTGTTTCCTGAAGAGGCATTCAGCTTAACGGTTTTCGTGACAGGAGCGCTTGGAAAGCCGTCCTGGTGTGTATTTAGCATCACAAACTTTGTCATCCCTGGACTACAGTGGGATACCCTTGCCGATTAGGAGTTGTTGAAATCTTACCGATCAAGAGTTATTGCAAATTATTTTTCAAAAAACATAGTAAACTAAAAGTTCTAAAAATTTTTTGCCATATTTTGTCGGTGCTACTTTTGTTGATTAAATTTTGAAATGTAATTGTTTTTTAAAATATGCGGGTTATTAAGTTTATTCCTTTGGTTTTATATTGTCTTGAAATGCAGCTTTGGGCAGTTCAGGTCTTGCGGCATCGAAACACGCACTGTTCAGCGATTTGATTATAACGATGCGGCAGTTTCCTGGGCTGATGCAGTTTTCTCGGCCGGCGGCGATGGCACATTTCTTCTCGCAGCATCGAAAATACTATCGCCGGATAAGCCTGTAATTGGTATCAACACCGATCCAATAGGGTGCGCTTAACATACTATTATTTTGATCAATTTGCTTATAAACTGAGATAAAACTTCCGTATTCACTGTGAGAAGGATCGCAAGGCTTTCAAGAGACTTCCTTTTTCAAGAGTTGCTTCAAAAATGGGGTTATTGGCTACTTTGATTTCTTGTTCATCGAAAGATCGGTTAGTGTTCTTCGCTGTTTCTTTGCTCCGCCACGCATGACCTGACGATTTTTTCAGCTCTGAAGGACATTTGTGCCTACTAAAAAAACTATCACATGAATATATCAAAGATGCGCTGAAACGATTACTGGACGGTGACTTCAGGTAACCATCAGTAGATACCTTTCAAAGCAGCTTATTAACTTTCACTTACATAGCACTGATAGAATCCCTAGTGAAATTACAGAATAAAAACAACACTCTAATTGTAACATATAAGAAAACCTCGCTAACTTACGCTTCCAGGGCCTCATTTTTATGCGTTTTTTGCAGCTATGAAGTGCTGAAAGCGCATATTGACGAGGGGTTGTCTGTGTGTTCGTCTGCCACGCACTTTCATCTCAAGACCTATAAAAGCTGCGGGGCTGAAACTT